TATCGAACAACATTTGAGATATGGCCAAAAAATAACGCGTAAACTTTAAATTATTGCTATTTTGTAACTATTCATCACATGACGCATTTTTAGACTTATACTATAAAATATAAGAATACTTGTTAAAGACAGATTGATACAGAATTAAAAACTATAAGATGCAATTTAAGAAAAAAAGACTGAAAAATCGGCCACATGCCACTTAACCGCATTTTTGCTTGAGGACGGCAGCATAGCTGGGGTTAAGACGCATAAAAACAGTTATTCACAAACAATGGCGGTAATCTTAAAGCAATTTACGTATTGTATCGCGTTTACCACGGCCTCAGCGCTGTGCGCCGAGCTGTCAACAATGACACGAGCCTTGGACAACTCGCGCTCGTGTGAACTGTCTCTTCCTGTACAGACTCACAATTCCATGTTGGACAACGAAATCGCATGGTATAAGAATGCCAGTAGACACATCCAAGTAAATATTTACTTTCCTATGGATGGAATACGGAGATTAGGCCATGATCCACCACGCGGGCCCAGTGCGGATTGGTGGGTGCTAACGACTGCAGATGCAGCCGTTTAACGTGCCTTTCGAAGCACGGAGGAGCTCGATAGCGCAAGTGGTTAGCGCGTTCGGCTGCGATCGTTGAAGTTAAGCAACTTTCGCAGTGGTCGGTCATTGGATGGTTGACCAAAAATTTACTATCTTGAGCTCCTCCGTGCTTCGGAAGGCACGTTAAGCCGTTGGTCCAGGCTGCATCTGCATTCGTTGGCACCCACCAATCCCCAATCTCCTATTCCATCTATAGGGAAGGCCTGTGACCCAGCAGTGGGGACATTAATAATGATGAAGTAAATATTTGGCAATCTTTTATGTTCAGTTAAAATGAACTGAACAAACCGTATGTTACCGATATTTTTGATAGATTTAGTTTTTATAGTTTTTGAAGTTTTTTTTTTAAAGTATTTTATTGACATAGGGGAAACCACCCAATCATTGGCACTCGTCCTATTATTGGCACATTGAGTTTAATTCGAAAAAAACAAGGAGACAATAGATTATTCAAGGTCGTTACATATTAAAAAGAAAAACCTAGTATGGTTACGAAATTTGAAAATTGGCAGCATTATTCCTACAATCTATTGTTTCCTATTTTTTCGAACTAAACTCAAAAGTGCCAATAATAGGAAGAGTGCCAATGATTGGGTAGTTTCCCCTATTTATGGTATCCGCGTCCTATCAAAATTGTTATTGTGTTCTCATAGTCTTTGTCTGTCATCTGCTTATAATATTATTTTGTGGATTGCCTTTAAAATAGTTTTAATAAAACCATTGCATCCAAAATTTGTAGCCTTCATTTTCCATCCCACTAGTTCTCCGTTTCACTGAACACCTGCGTTACGAGTATTATACGAACCTAATGGACACTGCAAACTTAACTGACATCAATAGGGTCTTTTGACATTTTTTAGAAAACGATCTCAGGTCACTTATTAATGCTTATGGAGTCCATAAAAAGTAGATATCTTTAATTCTGTTGCGTAATTCAGTAAAAAAACACTACATCGAAATTCAATTTTCAAGTTGCCGCGAAAACGTTTCTCTGTACATCATACTAGTTCTTCTCTGGCATCTTACTAGTGTGTGACGTCACACGACTGTCATTTAAACATCAAACGATACAATGTAATGTCACTTTTGCCGGAAGTTTCCTAGCGTGTGAAGTCATTTTAGTCTTGGCCAATCCCAGGCGATTTCGGTCACGTGACCATGGAGCAAAAAAATCATTTTTATTTAATGATTTTATTGAAAAGTTATTCACTATTTGTTCTCAGAACACTTAAAATAGCTGCTAATATTCATATTAAATACAGATACCAACAATTGGTACATTATTTTTCATACTGTCATAGCCTATTTCGCCATTAAAAGTACGTGATATGGTGTTTAAATACCTATTTATATTTTCAAATCTAGGCAGGTTGCACAGATCGATAGAAGGTCGTCAAATAAGCGAAGTGTCAATGATAATGACCTTGACTGTAGCCGATGAAAATAAATAACAAGTTAACGTATGCTCCTATTATGTAGGTCAAGTTTTATTTACATTTTTTTTAAAGGCAAGGCCTTACAAATTATTTTGATTCAACAACTGCAACCCCTCTAGCATGAGATAAGATGTGTATATCGCGTTTTTATCACGCTCAAATGTCCAATTACTATAGTTTGACACACTATAGTTAGACGCGATAAAAGACCATGTTATAACGTGTCCGGAAGTATAGTTATCTGTACGCATTTGTTATTTTATGTATTAGTAACAAGAATTGTTGAAAAAAATTATACTTTTAAGACACGATTTAAATTAGCTTAACAGAATCGATACCCTAGTAAATTGCGTTACTGTTTCGCTTTTTGCGCTGTCTATCATTTTATAGTTGGGGAAGAAGTTAGTCAATTTTATCGCACAAACCAATCAGCAGTAGCTTCCAAGAACTATTTACGGATGCCATTACAATTACAACTTCCATTCATAAATCTGTTTATGAGTAAAGACTACCATTAGTCAGAGTCATTATTAGCAAGATTTCAAAACCCAGTCACCATTCTTATCATTTGTCAAAAAGCGATAAATGTGTATGTATGGAGTAGGGATGCGCCGATCCGATCCGATCCTTTGAAAGATCGGTTCGGAAGGCATACGATCCGGTGATTTTCGGATCGCTTGGATCGTATGAATTAAAACACGGTTTGTTTACATTCAACTTGGCGGCATTCTTTGCAGGTGGATCCGTTAATCTTATACATTCTATTATTATAAACAAAAGTTGTACCTGATTAGGTGTGACGATTATTGATAGGTTTACCAAATAAAAATCTAAAATAATTTGTCTTATTTATTGTATCCAAACGAGGCAAAGCTATTACTGGTGCAGTAGCATTTACACAGGGGCACAAGGGCCAGACTTTATTTAATAATGATTAACGTAGATTATTATGAACAATTACAAGGGACATATGTTAACCTTCATAGTTATCAGATTATTTGGAATGACGAATAACATTTTAACACGTTTATACTCGAAATATGTTCCAACATTAATAATAACCGAATAATGGATAATTCTAGGCTCTTTGTATATTATTAATTACGTAAAATTTGTTAAGGGGTGACTGAAAAACAGGGTTAGTTCAGGCCCAGGCTTGACCAACATTGGCTGAGCCATTACCTATTGTCTTGTTTTTAATGAAATATTATTTAAATATCTGTTAGCATGTGAAAAAGACAATAAATTATTATTTATTATTTAAAAAAAATTAACATGTATACAAGAAGACTGTATATGTTTACAATAACTTTGGTCTGCGTTTATGAAGACTAAAACCCCTATCGCAATTCCGACAAGATGGGTGATCAAAAATATTGGGTGTATTCCGAAATATACATCAGTATTGGGATCTGACATGGAGGCGTGGCCTATTCAATATGGCGCCGACGGGGGTGCATTTGCCTAGTCAAACCGTGATGAAATACCGTAAAATAGTTAAATATCAATATTAGTGGTAGATAATGATAGTCTTAACAATTAATGATATTTGTGAATGGTCCGGTTCAACGCCCAGTAATCGCAATTTTCGAGAGGGTGAACGACTGGTAGCTGCGAAACATTTATTGAATTGTGGTATACACAAACATTTATTGAATTGTGGTAACTAAACCAAGGAAACTCTTTCATTTTAATGTTGTTGCCGTCCCATTCTTTTCTTAGTGGAATAATAATGAGATCTTGTAAAATGCTACTTCACACATGCTTAACCTCAAAAAACGAATTTGACTCACCTGGTAATATATAGTCGTCTTTCAGAAAATGCAATGAACACACTTTCATGTGAGGATTTATTTTACAGTCAATCTTCAAAGCGTTCTTCCATGCTGTGAATTGGTCCACTTTTTCCATTTGACCAAAATAATTTTTGATGTAAACACAACGCGCATTTTTTTTAGGAAACTTATGAAACGTTAATTCACGGTTTTTTTGAAAACTGCTTCCACATCCATACACACAACACTTTATTCTTTTTTTAGAAATCTTGCGAGGGTTAAATATTCCTAATTCTTCCGTCATTTTTTGTTTAATTTCTCAAAAGTACTAATGACACTAATGATAACTTATGTGTTTTGATGAGCGATGCACCCCGGTATTAGTTCCAAAATTGAACACCAGGTGTCTCACGAATTTTGTCAGATCCCAATACTGGCCAGTGGTAATGGTGTCACGAATTCGACGCCATATTATACTGGTATGCTACCATATTTTTACCGGGAAAACGAATATGACGTATGACCGAGTGTGCGTGAGATGCATTCGAATTTTATTTAAAGAGCAATAATGGCATCCGAACAAAAAGAACTCCTTTTAATTGAAGAGGTGAATAAAAAATCTTTATTCGCACTATTTTTAATATTTGGTCGATTTATGACGTCAGTGCACTGGCCAATATATTTCGGAACAATTCGTCAGTATAGCGTCGATCCATGACGTCATTAGCACTGGCCAGTATACTGGTATATATTACGGAATACACCCATAGCACGAGTAATATTAGCGTTCTTCGGAAAGGTTCCTTTTCATGAATTTGATATAGCTCACAACAATTATTTAGTATCAAACAAAGCAGATCTTGCACTATGAGAACTATTTCGCTGTCAAAAATATTATTTCAGCGCCAGAATGAAGCTTAAGCTTTCCTCCGAGATCCCTACTCCCTACCATGCTATACCAAAATAAATCAAAATCGGTTTAGCACATGTAACTTTAGTTACTTTCAAATTCCATAAGATTTGTATGCAAATATTCATAAAACTAATCGTGTACCATAATTCAACTAGCAGTGGAATTATAATTTGCTTTCAATAGTAGACAATCTGTAGGGCGTACAGTTGAACGAGCAAGGTCAACCGTTTGTTGTTCTGTCGAGGAAAACGTTTAGGAAGCGCACTCACCTGATTAGTGATGTCGTACACTACGATAGCCGCCTGCGCACCTCTGTAGTACATCGGGGCCAGACTGTGGTACCTGCAACACGGACCCAGAGTTACACACAAATCTTGGACTCATACCACCATACATTGGCCTACAAAGCTAAGTACCACACTATTCATCATCATCATCAGCCTATTAATGTCCCCACTGCTGGGCCGCAGGCCTTCCCTATGGATGGAATAGGGAGATTGGGCCATGACCCACCACGCGGGCCCAGTGCGGATTGGTGGGTGCTAACGACTGCAGATGCAGCCGGGACCAACGGCTTAACGTGCCTTCCGAAGTACGGAAGAGTTTGAGATAGTAATTTTTGGTCACCCATCCAATGACCGAACACTTCGAAAGTTGCTTAATTTCAACGATCGCAGCCGAACGCGCTAACCACTTGCGCCATCGAGCTCTACCACACCACACCACACTATTAAAATTGCAAAACTTTTCCAGTCGAGAGATGTACTTTCGAAATAAAAAGGTTTTAAAAGAAGGCTAATTAAATTTGCTAAAAATAGTTTTTGTTTAAAATCACTTACTTCTATAGTTCAGAAAAGACGTTTTTTGGTTTAATAAACTTATTTCTTTAGTTTAGAAAAGAATACCTAGAGGTATCCTCCATTAACTACTACCAATAGAAAAACTGCAAAACCTCTAAGTTTTGCTCCCAACATTAAATTCCATATTGGGGATGACCTAACTAAATAATAATGACCTGAGCATATTAACCATTATAAAAAACTAATTTATTTTATTTTATTTTCAGACAGAAAAGCTTAGATCATTAGGATTAATCCGTGTGATAAATAACAACATATTTTGTTACTTATACTTGTTTTTATTGAGAAAATACTAAAAGTAGTATTTCCCCATTTTGATTTAAATAACTACCCGACTCAGAGATGTGATTAAGTTAGATGCTTCTTGAAATGATCTGTTATCTTATTCTATTGTTAAAGTTGATGTCAACATTAAACAAACTTAAAAATTAATAATTGTCTCATGTCATGACTCCAATGCAACATAATTTGAAAAGACAAAACATGCGTGTTTGAAATTAACTAGATATATTGTTGTAAGTAGTACTACTCTTAATAATTTCCCCATTTTGTTTTTATGACTACCTGACTCCAAGATGTGATTAAGTTTAATGCATTTAGTTCATAGTAATCTGTTAACAGTGACAGAATTCTTAAGTCTCTTTCATTTGTCCTTATCGAATTGTGATATTAATTAACCAGCTTAACCTTTCAGGTGTATGGCTTAATAAAGAATAAAAAAAAATAGTAATCTGTTAGCAGTAATAGAGCTTATATCATAATAGTTTACCTTTCTTGTCCAGCAGTGTCCCATATTTCAAACTTAACAGTGGTGTCATCGAGGCAGACTGTCTGTGTGAGGAACGCAGCTCCTATGGTGCTCTCCTGGTACTCGTGGAATTGGCCCTTCACGAAGCGGAGGACCAGTGAAGATTTGCCCACGGCTGACTCCCCCAGCAGCACCAACTTGAACTGACACACCTTTGTCTGCGGCGCGCCGTTCGGACGCTGCGCACCGGTTCTGTTTGTAGCCATAGCCTGTGCAGAACAACTATTCAATTAAACATATATAGTAGACCCGCGGAAATCCGACTTATCACTGTTGATTTGCACATGCAATCAATTGAAATAGATTTTTAGATTTGTAATTTGTCGGATTACAAGGTACTCTTATTCCAAAAATTCCGGACTATCGAGAGTGGGGTTTAGACAGTACTCTGTAATCCAGCAAATTCGATAATGCGACATCGCTCAGCAAACGTTTGTCGGATTATCGCAAGTCTACTGTATATAGTTCCTTATGAAAGGAACAATCAAACAGTAAAAAGGATAACATATTCTTCAGCTAAACAATAAAATAAAAGTGATACTCAAAAATACAAATTAAAATTTATTCATTGCAAAGAAAGGCAGTTCGGAATCCTTCCGATTATTTCATATATATTTAGTTAGCTTCTGCCACTTTTATACACAACTCAATTTATAAAACCCATAAACTGTCTAGACATGCAATGTGAAATCTCCAGGTAATGTAGCCATGAGAAAGATAATATAATATTTGGTCAAGTGAAAATAAAATGAACACTTTTTTTTTATATCTTATTGAATGAATATACTGATGCATTTTATTAAAAAATATACTAGTTCATTTAAAGTCAAACACACCTTAACACAATGTAGCCCCATTTAAGACTCTAATACAATTATATTAAGAGTGTAGTCAAGTTCAGATCTCCAAAACAAATGTATCCCTTACAAAAGGAATAAAAAGATAATAACCAACTTTAACAGTTAGGGTGCTCATTATATGTCTTTGTTGTTATCTAAAGCAGTTCTGTATTTAAGAACAATTTATAAATCACTTTGTTGTAAACAAGCTGTGAGTTTGGTAAACACAGATAAATTGAATGTTTAAGATGCTATTTAATTAAAACCACACATATGAATTCACTGCATCAAACTTCTTTTTATCAAATCAAAATCAAAAACCTTATTATCATGGGAGAACAGAAATATTCTCCATGATTTGATAACACAGCTCTAAATAACATTCACAGTTATCTAAATATATACATATTTCTAAATATCGAAACAAAGTATGAATCTAATGTTTTATTATAAATTTTACTCACTTAACTTCAACCTAATTTCATTATGATTAATTGTACACTTTAATTGTTTTTTGATGAAGCAAGAAGCTTAAAGCTTTAATTTCAAAGTTTAAGGAGAAAGTCTACTAGTATAAAAATATTATACAAATATTATTCTATTTATAATAGGTACAGGAGAGTAACAAATACACATTTGAGCAACTAAGAAATGAGCATGTGTGTATTATTATTTTAAAAAAATGCAAATAGAACAGTTTTTCTATTGATACTTGAATAAAGATTAATTCCTATGCAACAATACTGAAATAAGGCTTTCATTTGATGAAGCAAGAAGCTTAAAGCTTTAATTTCAAAGTTTAAGGAGAAAGTCTACTAGTATAAAAATATTATACAAATATTATTCTATTTATAATAGGTACAGGAGAGTAACAAATACACATTTGAGCAACTAAGAAATGAGCATGTGTGTATTATTATTTTAAAAAAATGCAAATAGAACAGTTTTTCTATTGATACTTGAATAAAGATTAATTCCTATGCAACAATACTGAAATAAGGCTTTCATTTAAGTTGCAAAATAAATAAATACATACTTTTAGATTCACCAGCCACAAGAGACATAAAAACACAATTTGACACCATTTACATGAGAAACTAGGTAGATGTTGTTACACTATGAAAAAGGTATATAAAATACTTTTAAACAGGGACAGTTTATCACCCTTTTTATAAGAGCAACAAAGGCAACTGTATGTCTCGTCAACATCAGCAAACAGCGAGACGTTATCTTCTTGTACTGGCCGTCGCGAATACACAAAGAAACAAAAGGTAACACAATGATACTTTATCTGATATTATTAGACGCATTTTGCGAAACCTACAAAAACAATAATTTCTCGGTCGAATACCAAAACGTATCTCTAATGATGATGACTAACACGTCTGCCCCTATCAGCGGTTTCCTACGAAACTGACCACGGTAAATTACGATTTTACGCCCTCATCGAAATCAGCTGGAGGTCGCAATATCTTGCAAAGTAATCACTTCCTCATCGGAATATTTTCAAGAACCAAAGACTGAGAATAGTTATTAGTGTAATCAATTATGGGTTTCGGTAGCTAAATTTTTCGATAATATGACGCATTTACTGGATTATATTGGACGTGAAAGACGTACCCTCCCTGTTATTATATCGCCGATGTGCTCTATTTCTCGGGCGACAAATCCTCACAAAGTCGCCGTGTTGCCGAAAATTTCATTAATCACACACTCAAACAAAAGTAAAACATTAATTCGTTTAGAGGCTAAACTAGAAATTTAGCACAGAAATGCAATATTACCAATTAGGTACCACGAACAAACATGGAAGCGAGACGTTTTGTGAAAGTTGTCTATGGTAGAGTATACGTCATTTAAAAAAGTGGAAGCGTCTATGGAAAAAAGGGGTTGCGTACATTACCCGGTCTTGCTTGCTTAAATATAGATTTTGGGTGCAATGACAATGGTGGCGATTCTGACATGATTCTCTAAACCTAAACAATGTAGTTTAAGCAGTGTGGCCATAGTGGCATCAGGCAACCTGCTTAAACTACACTGTTTATTTCTCGCGCTTGTTTTTGAGTCTGAATCTGATTCTGAACCTGCGTACACTGTGACCGTCCCCTTAGACAACATGTTTTCTTGTCATTCTGATCAGAAACTGTACCCTTAGCATGAACCATTAACGAATTCGTAACGTTTGCGAGTCCGAAATGTCATTGTCAAATGTGTACTGATTTTTAGTTCTCGTTACGTACTTTGTGCCGCTGCTGTTCAAGTTTCCATACAAAATTTGACATAGACTTTCGGTTTGCAAACTATTCGAATTCGATAATGGTTCGTGCTAGGGGTACTGATGTTAAATTTAGTTTTAAGTTTAGAGAATCATGCCAGAGTTGACACCATTATGACTGACATGTTGGCACGGTAAAATAGCAATAATGACTTTGACATTTCATTTCAATACACTGTCATTTTGAAGGCTGCTATGGTGACTTTTGATTAGAAAACCTGTTTCTAAAGTTAATAATTTTTTTCTTAACTTTGCAGCTAATTGTACATTAAAAAAAACACTGCAATCATAATAAGGCACCGAGTACCAGGTTCGTATCCGTATCCAGCTCCAACAAAATAATTAAGAATGAAGATCACGAGATATAAAAAAGTACAAAAGTATCTAAAATTTTACCACAACAATTTTGGATTCCATCAGCCTTACCAAGTTTTGATCGATGGCACCTTCTGTTTTTCCGCCTTCAAAGTGAGTGTCTACTTAAAATTTAGTCGATGCAGAATACTTAGTTTTGACTTTTGTTTTCACTCACTAACACAAACTGCGATCAATAAACAAAAACTCACGTGGCACCTCATGTTCACGTCAATACGGGGGCGGAAATTACACTGTAGCGTATAATCTAATATCTACCGTTGTCTTAAAACTGAAGCCCTTGCTTTCGACTTAAATTGGATATAACATTCTGTAAATTTTCTACAGAATGGACAGCAAGTACTGTCGCGTAGGTCGCCTGATCGACATAGTAGACGAGGAGTGGCGGGTGGAGCAACTGCCACATGAGGACATACAAGTGCCATTGGAAGAGCTTCCTGACCCTGAGGCAGACAGTGCTGATTCCCACCTCACACTGAAAGAGCAAAGCATGCGCTGGCAGGAGAACTTCCCTGAACCTGCCAGCCTTAGTCCAAACTAGGTATTCTGCATTTTTTCATTATGTTTTAATACTAAAATGATCATCTAGACTGTAACCCAATATTAATTTATTTATTAATACCACTGGTCAATTCTGTGGTTACAGGAACAAATTAATATTAGGGAACAATTACCAAAGTATCTAAACGGTCAAGTAAAACTTCTAACTACAAGGTGTATTATTATTGAAACTGACAAAATAGCAAAGAAGACCCACGGAGCCCTCACAATACTGAAACAGTTTGGAATACATGAGTGTGGACACAAGGAGCCTATTGCTGGGTCAAATTGTATCAAGTCAATGATTGGTAAGAACAATGAACAGCATTACATCCTTGCAACACAGGACAGAGATTTACAGGAGAAGCTCAGAGGCAAACCAGCCATTCCCCTCCTTTATCTACACAATAAGGCTCCCACTTTAGAAAAGCCGTCAAGGGCTAGCTATGATAAAGCAAGCCAAAGTTTGCAGTCTACAAATATATTTATAAGTGAAACTCAAAATGAAACTTTGAAAAATATGAAAAAAGCCCTAGGAGTTGAGCAAAACGTAGAGGAAGTGATATTACATGTAAAAAAGAAAAAAACACATAATCCTAATCCACTATCTTGCAAAAAGAAGAAAAAGAAAGTGGATGTAAAACAGCAATCTAAAAGAAAAGATGGGATCAATGAAGGAAAAGTAAGGAAAAGAAAAAAGAAGAAGGCTTCAAAAAATCTCTTAGAACAGTTGAAAAACACAGTTCAATAAAATATATGAATAATCTGTATTTACAAATTTGATGATTTCATGACTTAAGATGTACCTATACAAAATTAGTATCAATATATTTTTTCCTTCTAGCTTAAACCTTCTGGATAAGTTGAATTTTTTTGCTTCTTCCTTTTAAAATACCTATAACTGCTTAAGCAGTTATTAACCCAACTCCATACAACACTTGTTTTCTGTATCTGTGATTTAACAATGTTTGCTTGATTGAATAGATTTTGAAAATACTTATTAGGCCTCTTATTGATGACCTGATATACTCTCTTCTTTCTTATCAATGTGCTGCAGGCCCAGTGAAGTTTGCACTAGGCCTTATGCATGTTTAGATTTGTTATTATGTTCAGTTCAAAGTTGGCAGTATAAGTAAATCAAATAAAAAAAAGACTGGTAATGAATGCCTTTCTAAGGCTCCTGCCGACCATCGCAGCCTTGCTGCCGCCTCTCGCAGCCTGCCCCCCCTTGGATCCGGGTAGAAATCTTCTCGTTAACACGCGTCCTTAGGGTTAATAAGAGAAACGGAACACTACATCAAAGAGTAAAGTAAGTATATGCACTACATGCCACTGCATCTCCTGTCAGTCTCTCACAGAGTCGAGGCTAGTGTTGCCGAACTATCGATATTAAAACTATCGACAGTTTACATCGAAAATCATGTACCCTATCGATAGAATCGATACTACCGATAGTATCGATAGCTCAGAACAAGGCAATAATATCGAAGGAGTGCAATACTATCGATACTATTGTACTTCGTTAATAACAAACTATTGATAGTATCGATACTATCGATAGTGTTGATTTTGTCTACAACAATACTATCGATAGTACCGACACTAGCGATTGTTCTAGACTAAAGTTTGTGATTGACTATAATACCTGAAAATTGTAAACAATACTATTGCAAATTGTTAAACTATCGATAGTATGGTTGCAAATAAAATCGACAGTATCGATACTATCGATAGTTTGTTATTAACGAACTACAATACTATCGATAGTATTTAACTCATCCGATAGTATTGGCTTTTTCTGTGCTATCAATAAGCCGATCGATTGTCATACGAGTGGTTGGCTATCGATTAATCATCGATAGTCGACTATCGATCGGCAACACTAGTCGAGGCTCACGGTACTATTTCTTCTGTTTCTGCCGCTATCCTTTTACAAGTGTATACTCAGATTACAGAACAATAGGTTATCGATCGCCAGAGAGAGGTAGAGCATAGCGGTTTTTCCCCTCGAATTGTAGCATGTCAGACCCACCATACCCCTCATGCAGCACACAAATGAGGAAGTAACTTTAAAATAACGCTATCTTTTTTTCTGTCAGTGACGTAGGCTCATATTACAGAATGAAAACTAAGTTTTGATCTTTATTTGAGTATAGTAAGGTTGATACCGGTGACATTTTCAATTGAAACGATTAAAATTTCATTCTTCAACGTCCGTCGTCCAGAAAGGCAGAGAAATTAGACGAATTCTATCTGATTGCACAAGCAATAATTTTTCTGTGATCAATTGTTTGGAACGATTGTGTACCTTCATAATATGTTACATAATAATAAGTTTTCCAATGTTAATGTAGATTGATTTTCTTTTTGTATTTTAAATAAAAGTAACAGAATAAAGCTTTGGGATTTTCATGTAAGCGTTTTACTTGTTAACTGTATTCTGCAAAAATTTTAGTCCGTAGATACGATCCGTAAAGACTTAGACCAGGGGGCCAATCGCCTAACGGAAATGCTTTGGGAAACGCTAACGCTTACGATTTTATATTGTTATTTCTAGCCGCCTGAGGTTTTCGAATACCTCACGCTCATTTTTTTTAATATTGTTATTACCAATGCAAAAGAAAAAGAAAGAGCGCGAGGCATTTGAATACCTCAGGCGGCTAGAAATAACAAAATAAAATCGTAAGCGTTAGCGTTTTCCAAAGCATTTCCGTTAGGCGATTGGCCCCCTGTGGTTTAATGGTCTAAGCGTAAAGACGAGATCGCTAATCCGACCAAGTTCCCACGAATGCGGCCCGGGAACTACATAAATTCATATACAAAATCTGTTACCTAATTTTCCATTCAAAGCTAAATAAAAAAGACGCTGTGAGATAAAATATGTATGTTTTTTCCATACGAAATGAAAGGGTTCAGTATCAGGCTGATATCACCTATGTTCTTCTCTATCCGAACGATTGCATTGATCACTTTGCTATCGAAAATGGGGTGCATGAATATCCTGTTTGCGAAGGACGTGTGTTCGATTCTACTATCTACCAGGTGCTTGAATAAATAAAGAAACAGGAGAATAAGTAGAATTAAAACACAATTAATTTTAAGTAAACAATTTATTAAATCTACCCTTTGCGTAGATTTAAAGCTTACGTTTGAAAGGCCATAGAAACTTGAGCCTGTAAGCACCAAAGCTCAGAATGTGAACCAACGGTAAGTTGCTCAAGTACATAGTTTGGAAGTGGCTCATTATATCGTAACATTCTTCGGGTTCAAACACTTCTTGACCATCTGGAGAGTCCTAGTGAAGTAAAGATAGTTGTTTGATTAAAAATAAGATTATTGAAGTTATACTTCTTTAGGCGCGTTATGAAAAAAATATGAGAGTGAAATTTTAAGATGCGCGCGCATCACTGCATGAAGTTGGTCATGACCCCTCTCCCCCCTGGGCTAGGTACAGATGGACCAAACCCAGGGGGATTTTATTTAAGTACTTTCAATATTTAATATAACACGACTATATGACCCCCCCCCCCCTGGCGCCAAAGCTGGAACCGCTCTTGGATCGATGCCCCCCCCCCCCCCAGATCAAATACAAAGTCCAAAGTTCCTGTCATATCATCAAACGATAACCAATATTTATTACCAAAATACTTATATAATTCGAAGAAATCGAACCTACATTACTGACAACAATACCAACTTACTAGCTTTAACATGCGCTAAGCTATTCTACTCTCGTCCAAAAATAAGGCTTTCCGACTTCCGACTAAGCACATACACATTTTAAAAAAAAAATATCAGTAGTGTAGGGATGTCGAAAGTTGAAAAAAATATCGATATTTTAAAAAATATCAATATCGGCTTCGATATATCGCGAAAAAAACATCGATATATCGATATATCGGACCAATTTTCCCAAAAATATCGCTCACGAAATATGACACGCGGAATAATAATGGAACGAAAATTATCTCCCTAAAAATAGACCCTATTTTCGAATGATGACATAGACAATACTAAATACCGCACAGATCATAGATATGTTGTATATCATTAAGCTGAGATCCAGTTACGATTTTTCCAGATACGAATTTAGTTAGATCGTGATATGCCGCTAATAATTAAAAAAAATTAGTTTTTGATACGAATTTCAATATTGGTTATTTTGTATCGATGTCGATATATCGAATCAAAATATATCGGCAAAAAATATCGATATATCGAACAAAAAATATCGATATATCGATATATTTTCAACAAGCCTACAGTAGTGCACTTATCAGTGTGATTCGCTCCATTTCAAGTCATAATCCACATCAAAGTCATAGGGGCCCCATTATCCTTATATGCCCAGGGCCTTCATTAAGTTAAAGACGGCCCTGGACAGATCACTGAATTACAATTTCTATATTTGATAGATAACACTAAAAAACAAAATTATGCTAAGGGTGACCTAAGTCTAAGTATACAAATGGCTACTTAAGCTAGTTTTACCTCTATTGTATGACGTATCATTATCTCCTTGAAGTAACACCATAAATTTTCTGGTGATTGCCAGAAAAACCACTTGAAATGGATATGTACGTCCAGATAGATAGTTATCAAACAGGCTAGCTTATACGCAGTGAAATCACGCTTGGCAGCATAGTCGATGGTCTCGGACAATAAACTGATCAGGAATGACTTCTCGGAGCTATTGTAATGTTGAATCACTTTCTTTGCAACCAAAAATTCTCCTGAAACATACGGATTTCTTAAAGTTAAACTTGGTAACAAGTAGTGTCAGCTCCATCTATCTCTCATCAGAGTGAACAACGCACGAGCCGCGAACTGCAGTCGAGTGGATGTTTTCATGTTTAATTGTACATATATGCATATAGGTACTACAACGCACTGGCATCCACGCGGGTGAGCCATACAAAATAACATCCTCGCAACCGCCATCTGCCGCGGTTTGTTGCTCGTGCGTTGTGGCTCTGAGAGGTATGGCACAGCAAAGATTTAAATCGTGGATTTCCCGCACAGTAAAATAACCCTACATTTTGGTGGTGTTATGTTTCTGTCGGTGAGTAAGTTTTCAGGGAACCTTAGATTAAAACAAAAAGGCAAGATACGGCATTCGCGGCTCAAAAGTGATACGCTTAAATTGTGGTCCACGACCATAATTCGCTTTAGTCACAATTCGACATTCAAACACGCTGCATGTACACTCAATATAACAATATTGCGTATATTCTGCGTACAATGCCTTCGATGCTTTTATAAAGAACACAAATAGTTCAAAATCAAATGCCCCGGCAACACTTTTAATTCGTAAAACTGTGAAATCATTTTTTCTCAAAAATCACGGTTAAAAAATTATTTACGTAATCGCCATTTTGTAAGCAAGAAAAGGACAACAATATGCTGCGTTGAAGCGTATAGTGCTGTCTGGCTCGCTCGATTGATGTTTTTAAACAGACGTGTGCGTGGCGAGAGTTGCGTATGTAGTTGAGTCGGATAATATTTTATTTGATGCTAGTATGAGCGTACCGTATCTACCCTTTTTGTTTTAATCTAAGGGCTCCACGGGATAGGGGATTGGGTCAGGGTACGCAACAGTGATATTAATGGTATCTTTAGTGTCTATAAGCTATGGTGACTGCTTAACATCTGGCGGCCAATCGCCTAACGGAAATGCTTTGGAAAACGTTAACGCTTACGATATTATTTTGTTATTTCTAGCCGCCTGAGGTATCCAAATGCCTCGCGCTCTTTCTTTTTCTTTTGCATTGGTAATAACAATATTAAAAAATGGATGCGTGTAACTTATGTATGCGCGTGAGAAGTTATACTTCTTTAGCATCATTAAATTTTTTTTAATTGCATGCAAATAATTAATAATTACAATAAAATAATAAGAGGACTGGAAAAGGATAGTTAACACAGTCAATTAAGTTCAGTTTTAATTTGAAAAATTAAATAAATATTCAAAATATTCAATTAAAATCACTACTGAATTTAAGTTATTAGTCCATATGTAATTAGCACTTGTAAGTAACTAAAACACGTTGTGTTCTTGACCTTCACAAGTGCTTGTAACAGCCTAGACTGAATAAATGTCATTTCATTTCATTTCATGTTTTTCAATGTCCCGTTCAAATCTGCCCTGTTTGCTTTGTTCAAATCTGCCCCACGGTCACTTGGAAAATAAAATATTACAAATAACGCGCCCGCGGCTAACTTCATTATGTTAAAATTTTGTGTTACAGTGATGAAAATTTCACTCTCATAATTTTTTCATAACGCGGCTAAAGAAGTATAACTTCAAAAAAATGAGCGTGAGGTATTCGAAAACCTCAGGCGGCTAGAAATAACAATATAAAATCGTAAGCGTTAGCGTTTCCCAAAGCATTTCCGTTAGGCGATTGGCCCCCAGGAGGGTCATACACTTGTTTGCCACCCTTTTAAAATAAAAATTTCAAATTTACCTAGATATCGTTTAAGACCCTCGCCGTCGGCAGAGGCTGCTGCTATCGTTTCAACAGCTTCATCCTCATTCATGATTGTGCCCATAAGCAGATGCGGTTTAGCCTCTTTTTCTGGTTTCTTGAAAGGTGGAGCATCATTCTCTTTTAACGAATGTAGATAAGACGGTGCCGATATCTGAACCTTGACGTTCACCTCTTCATTGTTTAACGGGATCACGGGAGCAGAGACTGCTTTTATTTCAGCACGGCTCTCACTACTAGATGCAGAGTTGGACTTTGATTTTAATAAAGTCTGCATTTCAGGAGTATGTAGGTAGGTATAATATTTCAGCAATTATTCTAACTTTGAATGTGTGCATTTCACTGGCAACCTAATGTGCCTGCCGCTTTCGATGGTGCACGATTGTTTCAAAGGTATTTTCCTCAGAAATCAGTGCAGAGAGATTCGAGGTGGATTCTTTAGATTGATATTTCTTCTGTGATGGCTCCTTTATTCTAGATCTATTGGGGATCTATCCCTTGGGATTCTAGATTCTTTACCTATTTTTGAAGTTCGTGACAGAAACATATCCTGTTTTTGATGTTTCGGTTTGGCAATGACTAATGACATAAATATTTATGATCACCTTTGAGAGTTGTATTGATTGTACCTATTTAAACCTCTTTGGTATTTCATAAATGTTGTGAATCGTCGGTAGTCGCGGGCTTCGTGGTCGCGGGTCTTTGTTGAATTTGGAACCTACCCTACTTTCGCTCTTTGCGATGTTTAGTCACCAGGCGGCGCGGCGGCGAGGCGCGATAATAGGTGGCGGTTTTCTTTAATCACCAACTTGCGACCGGTAGGAATCCGAAATTGACACCAAGGCAATTGTTTTACTACCTAACGCGTGGGACGCCTTGTTTAAATACCTGCTCGAATGTAAGGACCCGTCAGTGTTTGTTCGCAGAGCAAACTAGAACCGTACGAGTGATTCGAAACACCATTAGTAAAGTTAGTTTATTTAATATTCACTACGCTAGTCGCTGATAATTAATTATAAATAAATCCAATTAGCCTAGCCCCAAAATAAACACCATAAGGCTTGTGTTATGGGATACTAGGGTAACGGATAGAATACATACTGTAAATATATGAGTTTATTTTTATAGAAATACATATGAAACATCCATGACTGGAGTACAAATGCCCGTATTTATCACACAAACATCTGCCCCCACCGGGATTTGAACCCGGGTCCTCTCGAGTCGGCGACGCCATGAAACCCGGCATACAAACCACTCGGCAACGGAGGTCGTCAAAAAAGTAGAGAGATGTGCATGGTGGTAGGTACAAAGCATTCTCTGATGAATGTTGTCATGCACTGGTGTATCCAAACATAAATGTTCAGTAATCCTAAATATACTGAATCCTTATTTAATAATCCTTAGACATTTGCAGTAACATAAACACAACATAAAACTAATGCAAATTCTCTCTCAAGTCTGGTGAATGAAAGAACAAAGTCAAGTTATCAAACAAAATTTCATTTAATTAATCAGTTATAATAATTAGTTAACCTAATTAGGTATTAAGAAATAATAATATGTACACCATATGAGTCATAACATTATTATTTCTGCCAATATCGCTGGCCTAGTTCTTTGCGTACATCGCTACTAGATTTAATGTCCCATCCATCATCAACTGAATTCTCTTTATTTCTTTTATCTTTCCGATGTTTTCGCTTTTCTTTTTTGTTTTTCCTGTGATCAGTATCATCAGATTCCTCACTACTACTACTACTACTACTGTCTTTATCATTACGAACAGAACGTTTCTCCTTTTTCTCATTACTTTTATTTTTTTCATGTCGCTTTTTACTTTGTTTTCTGTTATTAATACGCTCGTCTTTAGAGTCCTCACTACTGCTATGATCAGAAACAGCATGTTTATCTTTTCGCTGTTTACTTCTGTCTTTGTCTGATTTTTTTCGTCTGGAATCTTCATGGTTGCTCAAAGCATCTTGTGCATATTTTTCGTTCCTTGCTTCAGTACTTGACAAATTTGAAATGTCTCTTCTATGTCTTTCATCTCTATTTTTAGATCTATCATAAGCAATCTCCTTTTGATTGTCGTGTTTCCTTCTTTCTTCGTTATTTGTTTTTCTCCTGTAATTCTCCTCTTCAGTATTGCTTTCTCGATTGTCTGTTCTTTTGTCAACTTTATTTGACTTATCCTTTACTCGTTCTTCGTCTTCTCTGTTATCACGTTGACTATTTCTATTATTTTCTCTCTCTGAAGTTTTTTTATATTTATCTTCTTTTCTTTGCTCAAGATTTCTTCTATCACTGTCATTTTTCCTATCTCCATCTCTTCTTCTGCTTTCATCTTCCCTTTGTTCAGTATATCTTCTATCACTGTCATTTTTCCTATCTCCATCTCTTCTTCTGCTTTCATCTTCCCTTTGTTCAGTATATCTCCTATCACTATAATTCTTTTCAGATTGTCTTGCACTGTCATAATCTTCCCTCTTCCTGTGTTCGTCATTTCGTCTGTGATCTTGATCGTGATCACGTCTTCTTTCATACCTCTCTTGAGTGTTTCTTGTTCTTCTTTCATCGTCACTATTATGACCATTTCTCTCTTCCCGTCTCCTTCTATCCCCACTATCTCTAGAATTATAATCTATTTCTCTGGTTGTATTTTTGTCACGTCCATAACCACGATCTTGTGGTCTAACAAAATTGTCCCTATCTCTTTCTTTATTTTCTGTTCTACGAGCATCTTTCCCATAAGTATCATAGAATCCATCATGTCCCCATCGTTCATTTGTTTGAGTTTTGTTTGTTTCTTCTGGTTCTGGTGTTTGAGGGGTTTTCTCTTTGGTTTGTTTTTTATTAGTTTTCTTCTTTTTTCTGTTTTCATTTGAGCCTGTGGAAAGAGAAGCACAATTATTTGCATTGATTTCCCGACGACTCACGAGGAAAATAAGCTAAAGGTCGACGCAAGATCTCTCTTGGATCCTGAAAATGACAAGTCTGATACCTGTTGCCATTGGATTAATTTTATTACTTATTATGAAGGAAAAAGTACTGTGGCTGAAGGATCTACTTTTTACCACAGTTATTTTAATGTCATAATATTATTATGTAAATCAGCGGAATTCATGTACATACTTCATTTCGGAGTGATGTTACTTAACTAAATACTAATTAAGTAACATGTTTGGAATTTATAGATTTTAGTGTAAAGAGGTAAACTTATAGTTTCTTCTGGGGTTTTTTACCCAAATAGGGCGACAGTGAAATTCTATCAGTAAAATAGTTTTATGACGCAAATGCTATTGGATTTTTTATCATGGTAAGCTAAGAGTGAGGTAGAGAACAAGAGTTGGACTGGGTTCTCCAGTTTCTAGTTAGTTCTTGGTTACCTAGTAAACAAAAAGGTTTATGCTGAGAAGCAAGCAAAACCACTTATAGGAATTACTAATTAGTTGTCATGTACTAGTTGACTTTTTATTTTGTGTTAATAATATTCAGAAATAAAAGTAGCAAATTACAAAAGCCTATACTAAAATAATCTTTTGCTTACTTTGGGAACTGGATGATGAATCATCTGAACTGGAACTGCTTGAGCTGGAACTTGAATCAGACTCACTGTCGACATTGATCTCTTGCACTGGGGCTGGAACATTCTATAAAAATGGGGATCATTTAAAACAAACTTTAATACCATCGAAATTAGTATTCTTGGAATAAAAATGATATTATAACCTTTACCTTTGGCATCTGTTTCAAATGCTCTCGTAACTCATCAGTCAAGCCTCCTAAACCAATTGATGTAAAGAAATTGATTGAGAATCTTGTATTCTTTGGGTTGTCTCTGGGGAATATTCCTGAGAAAGCATATTGTAGAGTTCTGAAAGAGAAAAAGAATAATTAATTGAGAGCATAATAAAACCAAAATTGCATGAAACGAAGAATGCGACTCACGGATCTTTAAGGCGGTCATTCAGTTTCTTCAAACCCATGTATTCAGCAAGTTCTTGAAACAAAATTTTTATATAAATACGGCTGGAACTAGTTGTGTCTTCTTCATTTAACTTTACACATTCCAATACTTCCCAACTGATGGAATCGGTGAACAGCAGATGAGCAAAAAACTTGCTGACATTTCTCAATCTGTTAGTGTCCAATCTATGAGCAGTTGCATATGAATCTTTAAATATCTCTTCAAATGGACCGATGTATATCCTGTTTATATTGCAAAATCTTTGTGCTAGTAGACCATAAAACTTTTCATAGGTTCTCTGCTCTGCACAACAGTCAAGGAACATATGACACAATTCAACTTCTTGACCAGGTTTCAATTGCATTTTCATAAGCTTATGAGCACACTCTTCAAAATCTAAACTAGAGTTTATGGTCAAATAAATGGTTCTCCTCAAGGCAACGAGATTTGTTTCAGTGTTGTCTATGATGGTAACTGGTTTCTGTTCATCACCGTCCTCCTCATCACCAGATTCATCACTACCACTTTCCTCAGACCCATCTTCTTCACCCGACTCCGCATCGGACCCCAATATTTCCTTACTTAATGATTTGTATTTTTGTTCATTTTCTTCATATTTGTCATCAAACTTGAAGACATCTGAAAATAATTTAAAATTCTCATTAGCTAATTGTCAATCATAAATAGTTTATGATAGTGGATTGGACGTTACTTGTGGTCACTATTTTTTGGACAAAGTTATTTAACAATAATGTTACTTATAATTTTTATTATTTTAAAGCATGTAACTGTTTGATGTTTAAATCTAAAGAAAATATAACTAGAAAGAATTCCACGCGGACCAGGCAGCAGACGGGACTCGAACCAGTACCCTTCGCAATCCAGGCGAATGCACTGACAATTATGCTACAGCAGCCCTCACGGACCGAGTCGAAATTCTTCTAGCCATTCTCAAGCTGCAAGGCAGCGCTATCTCTTTGCATTATAGGTATATAATAATAATGTTACTTACTCAGGATATCCTGGGGATCAGTAGCATCATCCAACATTAATAGGTGCGTGAATTGTTCTTCCTCTGGCACCAGTTCAAGCTCCTCAATCAAAGCTGGATGATCTTTGAAGCCATCCTTCCACACTTGGAACATCACCTCTATCATGTACTGAACTCTTTTGTCTACCTGGCCTTCATGAAGAATGTTTCTCAACATTTCAAAGATTGCATTGACCCCTTTCGATGATACTTCTGTGAGTTTCTGACCACACTCCTTCAAAAAGGCTATAGCAACCTCAACCGAGTCATCGGTAGGTGTTTCCACAAGTAATGTTAGTAGCTCAAGCGCAAGAATCTCGTGGGCTACTCGTTGGTTCACTAAGTGAGCTATGAAAGAAGCTGATGATATACAAGTGGGTTTATCATTCCTTTTGAAACCTCTTTTAAATTGTATTACTAATCTTTTCAGCAACAATTCACCAATATTTGGGAAACGTGAGTTAACTGCTGCCACGAGAGCAGCATAAACATTAGTGAAAGTGGGAGAAGCAGCTTGTGCTTGTATAACCGACCGACACAATAAACCTCGACCGCGCACAATGTTTTCTTTTAAGAGCTCTTTTATAATTATTCCTATGTTACCAACGTTAATTTTGTTAATATGACCGTGTATAGACTTCTTTAGAGCTTCCCAAGCGAGTCTTTGATATGCAACTGAAGACTTGTCAGTAATTTGAGCTTGCATCATCCGAAGACGAGCAGGTGGAATGTAAGCACCCCCAGTTCTAGTGTTCAACATGTCGGTCTCTTTGGGTTTTCTCTCGGGAACATCTTTCTTCGGTTCCATTCCTTTGGGTGGTTCAGTCCCTCTTTCTTGTTTAACAACTCTCTCAGGCGATCTTGATTGTTTCCGTTTACGTCTAGAGTCACCAGAGATTCTAACTGGAGAACGTGATTTAGTACGGGCCCTCTTGTATCTCCTATCTCTATCACGATGTTGTGAATCTTCTACAGTTTTGTCTCTCTTTCGCTTACTGTCATCCTTCGTAGATTCCATTTTTGCACTTGCGGAACTAAACTAATTTGTATTAACTGTTCTGATTTCAGTAATGATAGTTATTTATAAAATAAAGTTATGAAGATAAGATAAAATTAATTTGTGGTGTGACACGAATCACAGAAAGAAAGCGCACACATCGCACAAAATGCCAATATTGCCAATGCCGCTGGCGGCCATTTTATATTATGACATTATCATTTTTAATTTTCATTTAAATGTTAAGGATTATGTGCCCATACAGCCTTTTATAATAAATTATGAGTTAAAAAAAAGTTCGTTATAATTATAAACACATTAAAAAGACCACAAACTATGTTTTATATATAAACTGGTTTAGAAGGGATTGTATTAACATACGAGTTAAGCGGGAATTTTTCGTGCAAGCATACGAGGTTTTATATTTAAATTGTGCAGTTAAATCAATGATATTAAACTAGATACATCACGAGCGCTCAAAATGTGTCCCAATCAAGAAGTGCTTGAATTCCACTCAAGCACTTCTTGGTTCACAGTCACGCGCGGACCGTTACAATGTCAAGATGTCACAGAGTTCTCAAAAAATGCGAAAAAAATACTTATAGTATCTAATCAATATTTGTTAATTTAACGCATTTGAAGCTAAATTTATTCTAATACTTGCTGTAAACTGATTTAATACAAAATATTTGTGATATTCAAATGCATGGTTGGTTATACGGCGACGTGTAGCGTCTCTTTTTCTCGGAGTTCGTACCTGCTATATTGCTAACAGCGCATTTAGAATTGCGCGTAGAATCAAATGAATAGGGTGTATATTCTTCTGCATATAGCAATAACTACGAGCTTGCATTTCGAACTGCCAGAAGTCTTTGACGCATGCGTTTTAATTTAGTCCTTATACATTAAAGTTGACTTTCAATGATTAAATAATGCCTTAAATGTTTTTTTATCACGAAATCATCGTTATGGAGTTCCGTGGATCGTACAATGTACCTTTTGGACAGGTTTTGGCCACGATTTTGTTCGTGTTGTTGTATCTAGGGCAGTGGCGTAGTGTAGTGGGGGCGGCAGGGGCGGCCACTTCTTAGAGGGCGGCAAAATTTTACAATAAATAATATAAATATCTCAACCATTTAAATAAGAGGGCGGCAAAATTGTCCTTCGCCCCGGGCGGCCGACACCCACGCTACGCTGCTGATCTAGGATATTTAATATCGTTGAGTTAAATGCTTAAAAAATATATTTTTTATTTTTAAGCATTATATGAGTTGCTGTATGTATTAACACAATCGAAGATTTATCAATGAGTTTATTAGATAAACTCGATGACAAATGCCGATGTTTACAGCGTTTGGTCTGCGATTGTCTTTGAGTATCTGTAAGGCAATTGTAGATGATTGTATACGCTACTTTCGTATTGGTTGGTCATAAAATGGGTGACATTTTTTTTGGTCAATTAGGTACCCTCCTATTTTATAGTTTACATCATGTTCACGTCTTTGCTGGTGTCATATCGTTGTCCTATCAAAAATAGCTGAAATAATTTGCTTAATATTGATGGCATTTCGAAACGTCCCAAAATAAATTGCACATTATACACTTACCTAAAAAATGGTTGATGAAAGCGATGGCTGGTTCGTGCGTCATGCTCGTGAACGGGTGCTGCCAGCGGAGATCAGTCTGCTCATGCTACATTAGGTACTATAACAGTAGGACACAAGATTCGGAATGCCGTGTCCTACTGTTATAGTAACAGTAGGACACGGCATTCCGAATCTTTTTTAAATCAGTTTTTTATTGTGTAATTTTTGAAGTTATACTTCTTTAGCCGCGTTATGAAAAAATTCATCATCATCATCATCTATTAATGTCCCCACTGCTGGGGCACAGGCCTTCCCTATGGATGGAATAGGTAGATTGGGCCATGACCCACCACGCGGGCCTAGTGCGGATCGGTGGGTGCTGACGACTGCAGATGCAGCCGGGACCAACGGCTTAACGTGCCTTCCGAAGCACGGAGGAGCTCGAGCTACTAAATTTTTGGTCACCCATCCAATGACCGACCACTGCGAAATTTGCTTAACTTCAACGATCGCAGCCGAACGTGCTAACCACCCGCGCCATCGAGCTCCTCGAAAAAAATTATGAGAGTGAAATTTTAAGATGCGCGCGCATCACTGTAACACAAAAGTAACATAATGAAGTTAGCCGCGGGCGCGTTATGAAAAAATGATGAGAGTGAAATTTCGAGATGCGCGCGCATCACTGTAACACAATAGTAACACCATGAAGTTGGCCGCGGGCGCGTTATGAATGTTAGTGTCTAATAACGGTGGATTATTAACCACTTAGTGGTTAATAATCCACCATTATTAGACATCTGTTTGAAAGGTACTTTGAACGATCCACGGAGCTCCATAAGATGATCGCGTTGTCAAAAACAATGTTGGCACGCTCGTCGCCTCTGATCACTGTTTTCATATTTATAATATTTATCCACATGTTTCTAGTTTCTATATAGACACAACGTGTTTTAGTTACTTACAAGTGCTAATTACATATGGACTAATAACTTAAATTCAGTAGTGATTTTAATTGAATATTTTGAATATTTATTTAATTTTTCAAATTAAAACTGAACTTTATTGACTGCGTTGACTATCCTTTTCCAATCCTTTTATTATCTTATTGTAATTAATTATCTGCATGCAATTAAAAACTAATTTTTAATAATTCCAAATAGAAGTATAACTTCTCACGCGCGTACTTAAGTACACGCACCCATATTTTTTATATCATATACATTTATAATGGTGAGTGACTTCATGAGTTATCTCATATTGAAGTAATTTTTCAATTTGAGCTCTGTAGATCATACAGAGAGAAAACAGCTCTTGTTGGGTTTCTTGCCGGTTCTTCTCAGTACAAGGCGTCCCGCCCAAAATTTGCGAACCCATGGCGTAGCTTTTCGACATTCACAAGTGCTTGTAACAGCCTAGACTCTCAGACCAAATAAAAAGTAAAGACAGAGTCTGCCGAACCAAAAAGTGAAGCCGGTTTTTTATGTATGTAGTGCATTAGTCAGTGTTACCATAGTCATATAAAACACCCCAATATTAGAAAAATGTAAGAACGTTATTTCATAACGTTATAAAATATTAGAAAAAAATATCGTAAGCTTATTCTCTAAACCTCTCGTGAGCCAAAGATCATGCGCCGTTCTCACCTACAAGTGCCGGACTTCTTTATGGACCGCCCGCCCGCTGGGTGGGAACGATTCCATTGTTCTGCCGATTTCTCTGTTATTTTGTAAAAATACCCTTCACAAACGTATATTTGGATTCTCCATAAAATTTTCAATAAAACAGTGTGTACACAATGCGTCATGTCTATAATTTATTTTAATTACATTCTGGTAAACTCAGGAAAGATAAAAAAAGTCGTTTAAATAGGTAAAATGAGGTATATTTTCAAAATTTGTAAATTATAAATCCAGGTTTTTGTACATATAGAATGTACTATATGGGGCATTCCACGTGAAGCGGACAGGTAAAAAAACTCGATGTTTCCGATTTCAGTAATATTTGAGTATGTTTTACTTATACTTATTATTGATACGTGTACTAAATATTTTTGTGATATAATGACTAGTTAAAGAGTAATGGGACTTTGAAGTTTCCGACAACCGCTTGGCATGCAGTACTTCAAAGCCGATTATGGACTCATAAAATTATATATTAAAATAACTAAACCACTGGAGTTCCTACTTTATTTACTGGGCTTTTTAACTGTGTTTTTGGAAAAGAAAAAAAAAATCTTTTTTCGTAAAAAAAAACCAATTTAAGTTTTTTTCCTTGATTTTCACCAAGTTAGACCATTTAGTTTTTTTTTATTTTTTTTATATAAATTGCTAATATTGTGTAGAACATTGGTGCCAACTTTTATAATGGGCGTGAAATTGGATTAGGAGCTAGACTGAAAATACTGCCGAAGGGTGGCGTCCAGCGCCGCCCCTGTTGACCGCCGCTTGTGCGCGATTAGTCATCAAACTGTATATCAAATAAAATCACTTTGGACGGAATGTTTTGTAGATTTTTAATAAAACCTATACATAGAAAAAAATCCACGCGGACCAGGCAGCAAACAGGACTCGAACCCGCACTCTTCGCAATCCGGGCGAATGCACTGACCAATTATGCTACCGCGACCCTCACGGACCGCGTCAAAATTCTTCTAGCCATTCTTAAGCAGCAAGGCAGCGCCATCTCTTCGCATTATAGGTAATCCAAAATGTTATATTAGGGGCCGTTCATAAAATACGTCACGCTAAAATCAGCTTTTTCCGAACCCCTCCCCCCCTATTGTCACGCTGTGTCACACTTTCTGTGACCCCTCTTGAAATATTCCGTCACAAAAACAGAGACCCCCCCCCCCCCTCCCCAAGTATGATTAATTTTAATATTTAAGATTAATTCTTAATAAGAATGGCTAGAGGAATTTTGACGCGGTCCGTGAGGGTCGCGGTAGCATAATTGGTCAGTGCATTCGCCCGGATTGCGAAGGGTGCGGGTTCGAGTCCTGTTTGCTGCCTGGTCCGCGTGGATTTTTTTCTATGTATTGGTTTTATTAAAAATCTACAAAACATTCCGTCCAAAGTGATTTTATTTGATATATAGTTTGATGACTAATCGCGCACAAGCGGCGGTCAACAGGGGCGGCGCTGGACGCCACCCTTCGGCAGTATTTTCAGTCTAGCTCCTAATCCAATTTCACGCCCATTATAAAAGTTGGCACCAATGTTCTACACAATATTAGCAATTTATATAAAAAAAAAATAAAAAGAATTAAATGGTCTAACTTGGTGAAAATCAAGGAAAAAAAGTTAAATTGGTTTTTTTTTTACGAAAAAATTTTCTTTTTCTTTTCCCAAAAACACAGTTAAAAAGCCCAGTAAATAAAGTAGGAAATCCAGTGGTTTAGTTATTTTAATATATAATTTTATGAGTCCATAATCGGCTTTCAAGTACTGCATGCCAACCGGTTGTCGAAAACTTCTAAGTCCCATTACTCTTTAACTAGTCATTGATGTCGATTCTGGCATGATTCTCTAAAGCTAAACTTAAATTTGACAACAGTGCATCCTTGTCCTTCTCTATACAGAATGAAAAGGTGAGACTGACCTTAAATTTAGTTTTAAGTTTAGAGAATCACGCCAG